TAAGGTTGACCGCACAGCTATTATGGTGCGCTATGTATAGGAAAGGGGTAATTTGTTTTTGAAAATTACTCTTGTGTGCACCAAACATAAGCGGCCCGTAGCCACAGGCCTCTAGGGATTCCGAAAATCCGCAAGTGTGTGCTTGGGGGTTGCTGGGGGTAAAGTCTCGCCCCCCATAAATAAAACTCTCTCTAAGGGATTTCGGCGAAAAGAAATTATTTCACAAATGGTGACCTTCCCCCGTTGCCTTGTTTATGTTATTAATTTATGTTTATTAGAGGGTACAACGCGTTATCCGAAAACATTAAGGTTTGAAGTACGGTCTCGATTTTTTTTTTTTTTTTTTTTTTTTATGATTTTTATTACAAAACATTCCAGCTGAATAGAGCTCGCAAGCAGAACACAGTAGAGAGAGAATGGCATGAGTTATGTACAAAATTTTTTATAAATAAAACGAAACAGTTGGTTAACGGGCTGCTTTGTCGAAGTCCATATAATGCTTTTCGTCCACCGCTATGAAGAATGTTCTATTTATAAAATCTTAGAAATAATCTATCACTTTTTTGATTTTTAAAGTATAATAAATATATATTTAAAAATTAAAAATCTAGTCATCAAAAATTGTATGATATTGACCTTAAATATAACCTATTACACGATCATTAATTTATTATTACTTGTATCATCGTAAATTATATTGTAAAATAATAGTTGTAATAATAATAGTAATTATTTTGTTTTGCATTTGTACTTTTTATATTTATGATATTATGAAATCTTGAACGAAATAATTATGTTATGTATTTATTATTGAATTAGTTATTAGTCTAAAATGTTTAAAATTGTACTATGTATTTATATTTGGTTTTAAGACAGTATTAAAACTCCAAGTACAGTACAATTTTAAGTTATCGTATTATTTTATAAGCTACTGTTTCTCATTTGATATTATTTTCGACAAATTATTGTTTGCAAAAAAAAAATTTAGTAGTTAACATTTACATTTCAAATTTTATTGGCATCCATACCATCATATTATATAAGAATACAATTTTCAAGAGCAAAGTCCAAAAAACAATAATTTCCACAATCTAATTTTAGCACACGCAACCTATAACATTCGTCATGTAAAATGGTGAAATTAAGAATTAAATCGGCATACAACTAAAAATATAATTCTTCCCATAGTATTATTATAACTGAATTATAGTAAATATGGTTTGTATTTTAAAAACACAGTTCAAAAATGATCTTAGGCCTTTTCTTTTATTACTTTGAATCTGTGTCGCACTTAGTTTGTTTTTTAGCCACCTTTTAATTTTTTAACGAATTTTATTCTAACCGAATAACTTAATATCTCTAAAAAATTTTCAAAAACTCATAAATGTTATACAAACCACGTATATTTAAACTTTAGTTTAGTATGAATAAAACAGCAATATAATATCTCTAACTGTCCAGCTATTACAATGATAATAAAGGCCAAATGTTCACAAAATATATCAAACAACAGTGTATTTTACTTATTATTATTTATAAAAAGTTATTTGTGCTACACCAAAATAATAATTTTTTAAATAATTTCTTTCTTGAATCTATCATACGACAAATAGGACTTCAAACAAATATTAAATAACGACAAACAAATAAAATAAACGCCATATTTTTGTAATAATTTAAACATATTTTCATAATTTTTATTACTATAAATTATAACCAATAGCACAGGGTTAGATACACTTTAGCCTAAATATGTTATAGGCTTTGAGGAAGGGCTTAAGTAAATTGAGTACCAAACGAATTTATCTTTTTTCGAAATAGGTAAACTGAGTCTCAATAATAATATTGAAAGCGGTAAACTGGGTCCCACGTATAAAATTTAAAGCGGCAAAATGAGTTTCGTATAAAATATTTAATGCGATAGATTAATAATAAATAATAATATAAAAAAATAATAAAAATATTAAATAGGTAAAAATTTTAATGACACAATCTTAATAAAGTCAAGTCTACTAATTTTATTATTTTTGCACTCGTCATTTGTTCTCTTAATATATTATCTTTTACAATGTTGTGTTTTGACTTTTTCCTCATGTCCTTGCTTCTTATTTGAATGTATGTACTCGATTGGATTTCTTTGAGTGCATCAATAAAAATATAAATATTTGTATGTGCAATATAAAATAAACTATTTAGTTTTGAATGAAATGAGTCACAACTATTTGTTGTACGATTTAATGTTTTCGAAAATTCAGCCCAAACATAAGGCGGGAATGTACAATCTGATGCAATATATGTTTTAAGAATATAATCGACGAATAGTTTTATATTTTCATTTAAAGGAGGTTTTGGCAGAATATCTTCAATGAAACAATCATAAACATCTTTAGGACTTAAAAATGATAAGCCAAAAAATAATTTTAAAAAATTACTATCGTCCGAATTTTGTTTTTTATAATTTGTACTTATACTAAGACATTATATTTCTTTCCACCAACTTTGTTCAAGGTGAAAACGAAAACCTTTAATATTAATTGCTAGCCAAATTTGTTGGGTGGCATTGTGTATAGCTTTATCAAAGTTTATAAAAATATGAATAGATAAAAATCATAAGCTAAAAATCGTACATTGATCCATGGTGTTAATATAATTATAAGTGTGTTAAATAAAAAAAAAAACAGCATTTTACTATATTTCAAATTGTCGCTTTAATTTTTATACAAAGGACTCAATTTACCGATTTCATTTTTACATGAGGGACTCAATTTCCATTTTTTCTTTTTTATGCGGGACTCAGTTTACCTAAAATTAATAAAATGGAACTTAATTTACCAAACCCGTTGAAGAATACTAATGTCTTTATGATTTTCGTAATACGTATGTAGTTTTTATTTTAATTTTGGAGATGAATATTTAAATATCTAATACATCTTATAGTTCTGATTCAATAAGCTGGAAATCTTTTTTTTTTTTTAAAATATTCAATTATTAATAATCATTACAGGACTTTGCATGATTTTAGGAAGATTATTCGATTTTATTATACTAGGAGCGTTAAATAGGTAAATACCGTAATAGTGTACTGGTATAAATTAACAACTTAGCATACCCTAGGACGAAGGAGAAATACCTAGTAAATATCGTTACAAATATTAGTTTCAGATTTTCATCTATTTACATTGCTATCAAATTAATTTTAAAGGTTCTAATCAAAGAACGTGATAAAGATGAAATTAATAGGAAAATTTTATTATTTTAATTATTTTATGATTAAGATCTTCAAAACACTACCGGCCAAGAGACACTCCGAAAAACGCTTATATATATATATTACGTACATCTAGACCCTGCAGTGAATAGTAAGACACGGTGGTTTAGCATTCTAAATTTTTCGACGTGACAATCTTATCGAAAAAGAGGTTGTCGGCGGATGGTTTAAATGACCCCACAAGGCCCGAGAAGAATAACAAAACGACAGATTATCCGAGCAAATTGGTTTATGAGCAACGGACCTCTTTCGAGTGTCGAATAATAAATATGTGTTTTCGGTCGACTAGCTCGTCGTCATCGTCGTCGTCGCCGTCGTCTATACATACGCCGCCGCCGCAGGGTGTTACACGTATCCTAATCTATCCGCTCGTCCCTTCATCAACCCTCGGTGTTCGTACGTTTGTATATTGTATGTATATAATGTACACTTACATTGTACACACGTATATAATAGCGAGGAAAAAAGTTATTTTTTTACCCTCACACCCTCCAAGTGTTATTTTTAGGGAGCTCGTGCGCTGATTTCACGGGGTGCCGATCATGAATATGCTCGACGACTATATACATGTCGATAACGGCTACTGTGTAGTATTATGTTACATGGGAATTCGCACTTGTTGTGTACGCCGCCTGTACAACAATGATTATGCTAATAGACATCCCGATAACAATAACGCTCTAAATTATTGGCCATTAGACATCAACCACGCCGCAATACTATGAATTTACGACATAAAAACGTATTAATATTTTCGTGCCCACAAACACAATAACGAAAATATAGGTTCCTGTTTTTCGGTAATCATCAGTTATATTATATTATTTTAATATTACTCCACATAGAGTAAGGGGATCGCCTACCCATAGAGCGCGATCGACTGGTTGAATTTTACAAAAATATATAGGTCGATTATAATAGAAATTTATTTTACCTCTATAAACTTATCTGATACATTGTTTTGTTATAATAAAATTTAATAATATTATATAATGTTTTCCTATTAATACACATCAATGTAATAATATAAAATAATAGGTATCAATTACCATTAACTTGAGATTTTAAATGTAGCTCATTTGTGAGAAAATGCTTGCGACCCTTGATGTCTGAAGAATAATATGTATATTACATTCGTATATAGTATATACGTATACTCGTATATACAATTATTAAAATTGTCTAGGATATTTCACATTTATACCTTTGAATTTTTCAACACCTTTATCATATTTTATAATAATTATTAGAGTTTACGTGGTTTTGTAATCTACTAAAAGTTATAAATTTATTGCTGTAGCGTCTTAAATAAATTATGAATTACGACTAATGATTACTACAACTCATTTAATTTTGTACACAGTATTTAAATACCTAATTTTTATGTTTCAAATCTAACGTTTATGATATTTCACAAATACATAAATTATTTATAAATATTTTTAAAATTAAATACGTTTATTTGTATAAATAATTGCATTTTTTTCTATTCGAAAATAAAAGTGCAAATGTTCGTATATCATGTGACAAAAAATTTCCAACCAACATGTTTACATTTTACATACTGACTTAAATTTATGTATCGACAAATATGATACTATAACGTACTAAATCGTGATCATGCGAAAAACACAATACTTTTTATAAATCAAAAAAATTGAACATTTTGACGTTGCAATTTTCGGTCATCCCTTTTGTAATATTTAATAATAAAACGTTCAATTTTACGCACCTCTCTTTAATTTTTCCAATGGTTCGTGGTGCAACAACGACGGCGGACACGGTACCGCTGTGTGATGATGATGATGATGACTGTCATGATGATGAACGTGGTGGTGCCCTAGCATGCCTTGATGAAGACCGGCGCTACCGTCGTGCACGGGATGGTGAAACGATGCTGGTGAAGCGTGTTGTAACGCAACGTTATGGTGATCAGAACCCGTCGACGACACCAAGTCTTGCAGACACAAACTCGGGTCGGTCAGGTTTTCCAGGCGTTCCATCATTTTGGCGTTTTTTTTTTCAAAAACCAACAATCATAACCGAATTCAAAAATCAGAATAAATAATTAGTCGATATCTGTAAAAAAAAAAAATACAACAATTTAAATTAAACATAATTCATAGAACACAAAACGAAATTGATAATTATACAATTAGAAAAATAAATTAAATACAACATAATTTTAAATACATATATATTGTATAACATTACATTAAGTTAGGTTTATCCATCTATTTAATTAACTTAGAAAAGTCGTTCAGCATAAAAGTTTTTCAGTTTTAAAGTTCAGTTTACAAAAATGTTCCGTTTTATCTTTCAATTAATATAAGTTACAGATGGATGAATTCTGTATACTTGTATGTTTTATTTAACGTATGAAATATTTTTAAGAAGTCAGATATTTTAACATTTAAACTATAATTAATAATTTTGTAAAAGAAGAATTAAAATGCTTATAAAATAAAATAAAAATAATAACCCGATTTGGTCTTTTTAGTTTAATTAATCTTTGTGAAAATAAGAACAGAAAATTCACAATTCAACTACAATATTATATTGATATATTTATAACCGAAAGAAAAAAGTGTTGTGCGATACTATTAGAATAATATGGATCCATTACGGTTAGATTACACTTTACAATGTTAATCGTGAATGGTTTTCACAAGAATGGTGTCCATCAGTTTCTATAATATCTTGACTAGTACCTAATTAAACAATGATGACCAACCCAAGATTGACAAACAATTGATTGTGAATAAATAAATATTATTTTTTTTTAATCGCATATTGACATGTGTTCGAACACGCAACTTTTTAATACTTCATTTATATTAGAATAGTGTGATACATTATTTTTTCTCACAAAATTTACAATGCTAAACTAATAATTTAACCCTAAAATCAATGAAAAATGTTTTTTAGGCTATCCAATCAATATGCCATTAAAAAAAATGACAAAAATTACTAAAATAACTTATTTAGGCTTTTTAAATTTAAGTTTGTTATTTTTACAAATAATAGCTATTATATTTTTGATTTTAAATAAAATCCACCATTAAAGTTTAAAAATTGAAAAAAACATTTATTTGTATTTTATCCATGTTACAAAAAAAAATAGGAAAATTATGATTCGAATGTTTATGAGCAAATATAATGGCTGTTGATAAAATTTTTATTAATTAAAATGTATATTGTTAAAATATAATAAAATAAAAAGACCCTACGAGGTACAATCAAGTAAGGTAAAGTATTCAATTGTCTATTACACCTATCCGTAAAATATTATTTAAATGTAATACTTAAATTATTAAAGTAGTACGAGTTTAACACATAAAATCCTTTTATAACGATCAATATTATGTTTTATTTTTGTTTTATTCAATTCAGTATAATGATCCATCAGTATTCAATTATCAATGAAAAATTTACAACAAGGACTAGACTCAATCTCGTAGTGATTCACCCATTATATTTTTGCATATAAAAGTATACATTTATAAACAATGATACTATTTTTAATGTTCTAAAACCTGAGCTTACGAAATATTTTAGTTATTCAATCCAAATAGTATTTAAATTTTTTAACAAATATATTTGATTACAATAATAGCAAACATTATATATTTTAAATAAATATATAATTAAATTATATTATAAAATTAAACGATGTATAATATATAATTTATGTTGTCAATAGTTTTAATTCTCTGCAACATTTAATTTTACCATTAGGTTAGATACTACATTATATTGAACATAGTTTATCATGGATGTATAGAAAAAAAATAAATTATTCATGTTTTATTTTTCAAGTATTTAATAAAAGCATCATAATTTATATTAGTGAGTAGACCTTTTTCGAACAAATTATTGGGTCCTTATAAATTAAATTAAGTCGATCACATAAATAAAAATTAAACCCAGATGAAAAGTACACTTTATAATAATTATACATATATATTATACAGGTAGTGCACTACTGAAATTACGTTATAAAATGAACCTTCGTGCTCTAAGTTAACCTTTTAAAACCCAATAGTGACTTTATACCTCGTTTTTCCAACGATCAGTAATTTTTTTTAAAAAAAATTGAGTCAATATTACATTTAAACAGTGTTATTTTTTTGCTTTAATTAGACTGATTTTCAAATTTTAAATTGATTATAACTTAATTTATATTTTATTTAAATGACATTTTGTTTGAAAATTATCACATAAACAAATATTTTTAGGTAGTAGACTTAAATCGAATAAAATTAGGGAAAAATAAAAAATAATTCTAAAACATAAATTAATATCTATGATCTTTTTAATTATTTATAAACTAAGTAAAAAGTTTAAAAACGAATAGTGGCTTTTTTTTTTTTAGTTGAACGCTCATTGTTTATTTAAACTTGATAAATTCACAGTTACAATAATTAAGCGCGCAGAAAAATTATTAAATTGAACTCCGGGTGATTACGTTTTTAAAGCACACATAAGGTACTGACGGTAGTTGAAAATTTGAAATAATAGTTACCCGTTTTAAAGTTGTCAGACGAATTAGAACAACACAGAGAAAACAATTTTATAACAAACGGTAGACATTTAAGGCAATTAGAATCTTAATTTAAGACATTTTCTTTATCTATAGAAATTAAGCTAATTATTTTTCAACATTTGGGAATAAAAGATGAGTGGATCACAACGCAGGTGCCTACATGCGAAATCGATTAGTGTTTACAGTTATAAGATGTATTGTTTGTAGTTACCCTCGTGCGCAAGAATACACACAGGTACCCTGTGCCTGTTCGTGTCGACGGACACGAGCGAACGATTCTCGCCTTCGGTGGTGCCGAGCCGAGTCGGGCTCCAAACAACGTCGCAGGTTTATCACTCGTTTACCATTATTTATCACAACATTATGTACGTTAAAGTGCGCCAAAAACGATATAATTACCCGGACGTGTATAGTACTTCTCGCGAGACGCACGGCGAGGTAAGTTCACGGCGGCGAGTCCGGATACTGCACGGTAATATATTGTAATCATAAATCATATAAACGTGCGCGTGTCGCACGGTCGTTTACACGCGACGAAAAAAAAAAAAATCCTTAAGAAATCGCGGCCGGGCTTATGTGGGATTTCTGTGGATCATTTGAACCTACGGCGGCGATACGCGCGGCCTGCTACTGCACAGAATTAATAACACTACTCGTTCGGAGACGGAACGCGGCGGCGCACGCACACGCCGGACTGCTTGTGACGCGGTATCGTTTTGTTTGCTTTTTTTTCGACCGCACTGCGAAAACGACGACCGCGTGTAACGCGCGACGGGATCACAATAATAATCGGTGCGCGATCGACGACTTACCCGTGTACGATTTCCACGCGAGTGCCGGAGGGACGAAAATCGAACGACTCGGGTATATTTCGATCGGATGTTCGCACGGCAACGATCGATTTTCACGTCTCTTAAGAACGGATCACGTACTCGAACCCGTATTTGCACCGTGTACCGCCGCCGTTGCACTAGGCGCGCGCACTCCACTGATACACGTATGGCACCGTGCGTGCGTGGGTGCGTGCGTGCACCGTAATTGCAATTAAACTACGCGTCGTGTACACACCGGTGCACGTGTATCGCAAAAATAATAATAACAACAACAACAACAACAATAGTAATAATGATGTACGCGAGAGCCGGCCGCGCGGAGTTTTAAAGTTAAGCTAACAAATTGACCTCAGATTAGGTCGACTATCCGCGGTTTGAGCCCCCCGGCTTTGAGGTGTACGGCAACCGATCGGCGGCGACGGCGACGGCCACCATCCCTGGTAATGGGCGGGCTTTCCCCGCCGCGTCTGGCCCACTCGGGCGGCGCTTGCGCTCTTTCGCCGCCGCCGCGTACTGCTGCAACGTTTACGTACCGCGCGCGCGTTCGGTGTTGTTCGGATTCTCTCTCTCGCACTCCTTCCGTCCCTACCGCGTCCGTTCGTCCACGCGTCCTCTCCTCCTAACCGTGGTCGACCAACCCGCCCTGTGCCGCGAACGAGTTCATTTGTTTTACGCTTTCGCGCCGCGCGTACACCGTCTTGTCCGCAGACGATTTTTCATGAGATATTATTACACCTCTACCGGTCCTCGGGTCTGCCCGTCCGCCCCGCAACAGCCCCGACAGTCAAACCGTCAGCCGCCGCAGTAGTTTTTGCGGATTTCGCACCACCGTCGTTGTTTTCAACGATTTCCAACGCGAATTACGATGTACTATTGCATGTGTACACATGTGTTTTTCACATAAACATCGGATGGGAAGACCTCTTAGCATTAGGTGATAAGAAAACGTATTTCATGCATAAAAACTCGAAGGGTCAATCGGTTCTGACGAAACGGGTGTGTTATAGATATTGTATCCGACTTGAATACAATTATGTTACAAATTCGTCCATGACAACTGGAATATCGCTTCTGTATTTATGTACATATATTTTACGGTGAACTGTAGAAACGATAGTAAATATATTTTTAAACGAAAACGCTTCCTAGAAAACTCCTCGTCTTACGGATGGCTTAAAACGCTTTTTGGTTGTTTTCCTCCGGTGGTGAAAAATATCGAGTGAGTAAATGTATCGGTATGTATCGGCCCGGCTATCGCATAAGTGATGATTAACTCGCAGTCAACGGGAATAGACGAGTCGAAGATGTAGGACCGAAATAACGATAAAAAATGGCCTTAAAGAACTAAAATAAAACTATAGTAACTGGCGACTGCGTTATAAAAGGCCGACCGCATTTAAATACTACTTAAAAAAAATTATGAAGCTCATTCGTTGTAAACAGTATTCAGATGCATTATAATACTATTATACTTAAAGAATCGTTTTTAAAACTTCATCGTGATCGTATAGTGAAAATCATACAAAACGAGAATTTTATACATACATAGATAGATATTATTAATATATGTATTTTACGTACTTGGAAGAAGAACAACACCGATTTTGACGTGATAATGATCGTCGAGAAAAATTCCAAAAAGAGAATATTTGCTTTAATTGTCCACAAAATTATTATGCTCACTAGCATCTGAAACTAAATTTTATTTATTATTATAGGTAATACTTATACCCACGCACAATATATAACCGCACGTTATAAGGCTAACAATAATAATATTACCACGGGTACCTAAATGTATACATACTTATACCGATAAATTTTGCATGTATGGTATAGTATTAAATTACATATATTTGTTGTAACCCTATAGGGAATTTACAATCGTTTAAACTAATAATAATGTGCTTTATACGCTTTAAGTAAACAGGAAAGTTAAACTCAATATAGTTCCTATATAACCAAAAATTATGGGCTGGTTTAATTTTAACATCAAACATGATCATAAACTTCTTATCGATATATTATATGTATACATTCCTGCAGATTTGTATTGACTTAACTTGTACAGAACTTTTGATTGATTAGATATTTTCTACGATGAAGATATAATACTTTAATAATATTGATGATATATATTTTAAAATTTTAAATTTATTTACACTATAAATAAACAATTAAAAGTATCATATGTACTATTAAACAAAACTATACAGTTAATGTTAAATATTTTCTAAAATGTCAAACAGTTGATTAAACTTAAAACAGTAATTGAATGCGTAGTTCATCTTATAATAGATAAAGTATATTATACAAGTGTTACACATGACTGCGATACCATAAAACACTTTTCACTGTCTAAAATATTATCAATAAATAATTACAATAAGAACCATATAATATATTAAGTAAATAATGCTAAAAAAGCACTTTTAATAAAGTATAAATTAATCGTATAAGAATTGATAGAGAAGTATTTCACTCATAAAAAAAAACTTTAATACTTACAACATAGCATTTTATTGCGTAAGTTCCGATTATTTGTACTTAATGCATTTATAAAAACTTATAATCAAAGTATATACTGGCTATTAGCATATCATTTATATTTGCATTTACTTTGAAAAAAATCATCGAAAAGTTATTATGCCAGTTTTATGTTTCTAAAAGCATAATATATTTAATAGGTATAGGAGTTTATTACTTTTATTTGTTATTTAGACCTAATAATATTTAAATAACATTTATGCTAATTTAATTGTTTAAAATACTCAATATGGATGTATTATGGATGCGTTGTATGCGTAAATTATTATAACATTCCAATAAAAGTATAAATAAGTAAATGTTGAATATATATTGAAAAAACTAAAAACATTAGGCCAAAACGAAAAATCGTTTGAGATCAACTGTGATCCACCGGTATTAAGTCGGCTTTGCAACTCGAAAGAAATTCACTAATAAATCCCACTTACTTTTCAGTACTATGTTTTAACTGAGATACTCGTGCGAATTTTAATTGCTGTTTATTTTGTTCTACTATTTTTAAATGAAAAAATAAATTTAATAAATCCATTCATTGATAATTCTAACGTATTACCTTTATAAAACTTAAAACCAGAATTATTAAAAATGTTTTCCAAATCTTTATGGACATTTATTATTATAAGAATTATATTATAATTAAATAAATTGATTTATTATTAATTTAATTATATAATTATATTATTATAAGAATGAAAAAAGTATTTTAGCTATATGAAGATAACGATGTTAAAACAGTACCAACAAATAGTTTTAATTTAAAATAAAGTTGAGAGTAAACAGAACATGATCTATATTATATATTTTTGAGACTTCTAAATAAAAATAAAAAGTTCAAAGTAATTATAATTCAAATAAATAGACTATGTATATAGTAATAACTTATACATTTTTTGTTTTATGACATAATAATATTAAAAATATTATAATAAAATTTAGAAAAAGAATCCATTCAAAAAAAAAAAACAAAAAAAATTCTTTATCAATATTTTTCATTTACTTCAAATATATAAAATATTTTTTATTGTTAATTATTATATACAGCATTACTTTTAACTATACACAGTTTTCAAATTAATTTTATTTACTTTATTTGATTATTTCTATCAATGAAAAGTCACTTCAACACATTTAAGAAATGTTTGTTTATCTTACAACCAAATAATTGCACAATATAATTCATTTAAAGTACCTAACATAAATATTAAGTAAGGATATTTTATTCTTGGTTATTATTAATATTGTAAAGTAATATTTTTACTCAAATTAAATAATCGAATAATTATTTTTTGTCAAATTAAAATACCAGGTTATCATCTTTCAGAGTTAAATTATTCCAAATAATTTTTTTAAAACCTACATTAAACGAGTAATGCATCATAATAGATAATTGTTAGAAAATAAAACATATTTTGTATCGTATAAAAAGAATAAATAAACATTAATATATATCATGATCAGTATAATGCATCTTGATAATTGGTTAAAGAAAGTACGTGATCTACTGGTAATTAAAAATAACTTATAAACCACTAAAATGGCAATAAAATGTAAGTATACAATTTTGGTAATAACCTGTATAGGATAAAAATGACAGCTCAATCGAGTTTGTTTAATCAACAAAAGCAGAAGAATTTTGGAGAAGAATATTGGAGTTGAACACTTAAATATTATGAATGGTATCAAGCAATAAAAATTAAAATGTATAATTATATTGCAATTCAAAAAAACTAAAAAAATTACACAATTTTCACTGCACTATACAACGCTAAAATATGGTATAAACACTATAATTATATACACCGTTGTATACCTACGAGTATATTTCGTTTAATAATTGATTGAAAGGCAAATTGAATAATTTACGAGTTAGTTTTAAAATTCCCAATAATATTTTCACGTTTTAAACAAAGTACGTTGTGGGTTGTGTATAAGTAGATTATTGATAACATACTTGACACACAAGGCTACCGAAATAAATTGAATATTCTTAATAAATTAGATAACATCGAATTAAGTAATTATACATGCAATTCTTAGATTAAAATCTGAACTTGTGGAAAAAAATGTTTAAAAATGTTCACACAACTTTAAAACAAATTTTGAAAAGCATATATTTTTTGATATAATACGAGTAACTGTTATGATAACATACAAGTATTCGCAACACTAGACGTCATTATTATAAAGGTAACATTATTAGAACACCTAACTTCTTTATAAATATATATAAAATAATAATATACTGAATGGAATTTCGTCACGGAAGACATGCGTGTGTAATATGATGATATCACACGACGAACGCAAGTTGGAATCAAAGGGTGTAAGGGGGAAGCGGGGGACGAAAAAGAGCAAAACACTAACCTGATACTGGGTAGCCGTTCCACTAATCCAGCGGGATCAACATGCTAAGCCTGGGCTATCCGGCGGCGCACTGAGGGCGACACTCTCAGAATCCTCATCCCTTCCTTCCTGTACCGTCGGCGGCGGACCACGGCAACCCAACTCCACCCCCTTTTTTCCTCCAACGGAGGGGTTGAACACACGCCGCTGCCACTACCCCTACCATCGGCAGAGCAGCACTGCCACTGCCGACACTCGCCCACAACGCTATCACCCCACTCCAGCCGTTCATCATATACACGCTATCTCGTGCCAGCATCTTCGTCGTTTATGCTGTATAACTAGTTGCATTAATTATTAAATAGCACGCGCACAACACTCTTACATTGTATATAATGCATATTTGAATGTGCTTTAAGTATTTATATATATAGGTATCCAACAGTAATCACTAGACCGTATGCACGATGATAAGAAAATTATGATAACA